TATATATATATATATATATATATATATATATATATATATATATATATGTATGCGTGTGTGTATATGTATATATTGTATATATATATATGTGTGTGTGTATATGTATATATTGTATATATATATGTGTGTGTGTATATGTGTGTATATAATATATATATATATATGCGTGTGTGTGTATATATATGTGTTGTATATGTGTGTGTGTGTATGTGTATGTATATACATATATATGTGTGTGCATATATATATATATGTGTTTGTGGGCCAGGCAGTGTATATACAGTATATCTAGATAGACAGGCAGACAGGTAGGTAGATCTGAAGCTTGTGGAAATTATGGCAAAAATATCCATCCATCCATTATCTTTACCCACTTATTCCATTTTGGGTCACGGGGGTCGCTGGTGCCCATGTGCAGCAATCACTGTGCGAGGGGCGGGGTACACCCTGGTCGGGTCGCAAGTCCATCACAGGGACACATAGAGACAAACAAGACAAACAACCATTCACTCTCCCACTCACACCTAGGGACAATTTAGTTACCAATCAGTCTAACATGCATGTTTTTGGTCTGTGGGAGGAAACCGGAGTACCCGGAGAAAACCCACGCATGCACGGAGAGAACATGTAAACTCCACCCAGAAAGGCCCCTGGACCGGGGTTTGAAGCAAAGACCTGCTCGCTGAGAGGCAGCAGCTCTACCAGTTGCGCCACCGTGCTGCCCGGCAAAAATATCATTTATATTTTTTATTGGAATTTATTTTAGGAATTATCTCAAGACCCAACATTGATGTTCATTGTTTTTAAAGACTTTTGTTCTGCTATTAAATTGCATTTAAAGTGGATTTTCTCAACAGCATCTGAAGTTTATGCGCACACCTCATCAGTTCCTGCTCCTCAGCAGCCCTCCATCCAAAGAGCTTCGCTTTCAAACTGCCCGCAAACTTTACGGCAGCACTTTTGCCTTCCAGTGAGTAGAGATAAAAGCTGTTTTTTATGTAAAAACTGAAACTGGTTTGTGATCATCGGACACGTTCTGATTTCAGTGGTTCCCATATTGAAAACTGGCACTCCATTCTGAGGAAGGGCCTTGTCAGTGCCTCCTACACAAAACTGCAGGTAAAATATGAAACATTAAAGAAAACATGGCATAGGTGGATGTACTTTAGTACAGTACCAAAAGTGCATTTATATACCAATAAACTAAGCAAATGTTCTTGTTTTAAAGCTTCATGGAGCTGCGTATGGAAAAGGCATTTATTTAAGCCCCATTTCAAACATATCTTTTGGATATTCTGGTTAGAGCATTTTATATGAAACACTCTAGTCCCTCTGCAGTGAACATGGGAGCAGTGCTTATTGGTCCCCTCTGCTCTTTGTTTAGAGATGGGTAAAGGACAACATCAGATACCAAGCAAAGAGGAGCTCATAAAGAAATACAACAGAATAAATAAACTTAAACAGGTCAGATTATCATCCACATACTGTGACGGTTTTGTTTTTATTTATTTTATTATATCTCATCCTGTATTTTTTTGTTTTAGGAAGAGTTGGGCCAAACTAGGTTTCTGCAAAGCCGGAACCTCAACTGTGTTGCTCTTTGTGAAGGTGAATGATCAGAATGAAGATTGTCAACATCAATTTTTATAGACCAAGGTCGGAGCTAACGGAGGTGTCTGTGTTTCAGTTATCACCTCAGACGACCTGCAGAAACACGGGAACATTTGGGTTTGTTCAACCTCTGACCACGTGTGCACACGCTTTCTTTTTGTGTGAGTGAAGCAGAATTGTCTTAATCCTCTTTTTAAAAAGGAGCAAAAAATAAAAATAAACAATCCAAGTTGCATTTCATTTTTTCTCATCTATCTTGTTTTTGTTTTTAACAGGTATGAAAATGGTCAGGTGGGAGACGCGCACATCGACACTCGGGAAGCACAAATCCAGCAGGAAATTTTACAAGTAATCGCTTCAAAATCATGCTGAGACAAGAAATACTCAGACATTCTTTGTTTTTACACATTTTGTTGGATTGTAAGTTAGCAAAAGTTTGAATGTGTGCAGAATTTGTACCTTGTTGTTTCAAATACACTTTTTAAATTTTGTGCAAAAAACTCAAGTATTTATCTGTTCATTGGTGCTACACCACATGTTGGGGCTGATAAGTGCAGACTGTTTTATTATTGCCCATCACCATAGTAGGTGGGCGATCATGTAATTGCTTGGATGTGCACATGATGTTTGTCTGCCTCCGTATTCACTGGATGTAGAGGTTCTGGTCATAAAATTAGAATATCATGAAAAAGTTGATTTATTTCAGTAATTCCATTCAAAATGTAAAACTTGTATATTATATTCATTCATTACACACAGACTGACATATTTCAAATGTTTATTTATTTTAATGTTGATGATTATAACTGACAACTAATCTCAGAAAATTAGAATATTGTGAAAAAGTTCAATATTGAAGACACCTGGTGCCACACTCTAATCAGCTAATTAAGTCAAAACACCTGCAAAGGCCTTTAAGTGGTCTCTCAGTCTAGTTCTGTAGGCTACACAATCATGGGGAAGACTGCTGACTGACAGTTGTCCAAAGGACAACCATTGACACCTTGCACAAGGAGGGCAAGACACAAAAGATCATTGCTAAAGAGGCTGGTTGTTCACAGAGCTCTGTGTCCAAGCACATTAATAGAGAGGTGAAGGGAAGGAAAAGATGTGGTAGAAAAAAGTGTACAAGCAATAGAGATAACCGCACCCTGGAGAGGATGGTGAAACAAAACCCAAAATGTGGGGGAGATTCACAAAAAGTGGACTGCAGCTGGAGTCAGTGCTTCAAGAACCACCACGCACAGATGTATGCAAGACGTGTTTCAGCTGTCGCATTCCTTGTGTCAAGCCACTCTTGAACAAGAGACAGCGTCAAAAGTGTCTCGTCTGGGTCTGCTGCTAAGCTGTCCAAAGTTATGTTCTCTGATGAAAGTAAATTTTGCATTTCCTTTGGAAATCAAGTCCCAGAGTCTGGAGGAAGAGAGGAGAGGCACAGGATCCAAGTGACTTGAGGTCCAGTGTCAAGTTTCCACAGTCAGTGATGGTTTGGGGGCCATGTCATCTACTGGTGTTGGTCCACTGTGTTTTCTGAGGTCCACGGTCAACACAACCGTCTACCAGGAAGTTTTAGAGACTTCATGCTTCCTGCTGCTGACCAACTTTATGGAGATGCAGATTTCATTTTCCAGCAGGACTTGGCACCTGCACACAGTGACAAAGCTACCAGTACCTGGTTTAAGGACCATGGTATCCCTGTTCTTAATTGACCAGCAAACTCACCTGACCTTAACCCCATAGAAAATCTATGAGGTGTTGTGAAGAGGAAGATGTGATACACCAGACCCCAAAATCCAGAAGAGCTGAAGGCCACTATCAGAGCAACCTGGGCTCTCATGACACCTGAGCAGTGACACAGACTGATCGACTCCATGCCACGCCGCATTGTTGCAGTAATCCAGACAAAAGGAGCCACAACTAAGCATCGAATGAAGTACATGCTCATACTTTTCATGTTCATACTTTTCAGTTGACCAATATTTCTAAAAATACTTTTTTTAATTGATCATAAGTAATATTCTAATTTTCTAAGATACTGAATTTGAGGTTTTCATTAGTTGTCAGTTATAATCATCAACATTAAAATAAATAAACATTTGAAATATATCAGTCTGTGTGTAATGAATGAATATAATATACAAGTTTCACTTTTTGAATGGAATTACTGAAATAAATCAACTTTTTCATGATATTCTAATTTTATTACCAGCACCTGTATATGCAGTTTATTTACAATGTTTTAATATACCTGGCTAAAAATAACTAACAATTACTTGAAACTCCCCCGATTAACTTTTAGATTCAACCAGATTCAAGACGATTACTACAACTAATCTACATCCGCTAACACTAAAATGGCTACAACTCAGTCACATTTTACAGACACTGAGCCCAAATTTGTTGTGGTTGTTGCTGGGAGTCATTCACAAAATATACTCTGAGATCTAACAGATTGTACAAGATCTTTATCCAAAACTTACATTCAAGGTGACGGGCGGTATGCATTTATTTCTTCAAGGACTGCTAGTTTTATGATTAATTAAGGTAGAGCTCATCACTCTGCTAAATCTTTGCAAATTACAAACAGTAACAGGAATCTGTGCAGTATCATCCTCTTTGGCACAATCTAGATGAGCTTCAGACGACAGAGACGCAAATAAATCTCACTGAAAGATTAAAAGTTGGTGAGTTTTTTCAGTATATGCAAACACACCATCATTTATAGATGTAGTATAGCTGCTGTTAGTGGATGGTGGAGAAGCCTCATATCAACCAGTTGTGGTTTGTTCTTGTTCTCCACAGAGAGACTAAATAAGTCCTATTGTTTGGATGCATTAACCCTCCTCTGAGGCAGAAATGCTCCATTATAACAGTAAACTGGTTCCATATGAGCCCTGCAGCTGCCCACTATCACCCTCCTCTTTAAAACACCTCTGTTTTCATCGGAAAAATACTCTTCGTTATTATCTAGTTTTTCAAGTTCCAGCTTCTCTAGTTTTATGCAGTTTTGGCTTAAAAAATATATATATAAAAAAAAGAAGAGCTGCCCTCAAGGTGCTTTTGTCCTCATGCATATCATTCAGTCAAAGGAGGAATAAATGGTGTGGCGAGTATTTTCTGGGTCAGCCCAGCAGGCAGTGAAGTGAACAAAGGAGAGCTGTTAAGTTGTTCTTTTAGCCCAAAGTCAACATTTTGTTTGTTTGAGACCATATGGTCCTCTGGTTATTGTGTGCTGAGAAGATTGTACCTCAGAACCATCTTTAGCTTATTATTTTAGCAAGACTGTAGATTGGCTAAGTGCACAATAAGATTATTTCCTCTGCTTTCCGTTTGACAAAGAATTATTTCAGCTGAGTGCCTTGTTAATTCTCATTGTGTTTATTCATCCACATAACTCAAGCAACCGCTCAGATAAAATCTCCGAGCCCTCAAAGCGTTTAAATGCCATTTGTGAGCGTTGAATAAATGAGGCAAAATGTTGTGTGTGCCTTTAAGAGCACTATGTCTCGCTCTCCGTGTCTTTCCCTGAGTGTGTTTGTTGGCATCAGCTGTCCTCAGTGCTGAACAGAGCAAGGACATCTTTTCCTTCACACTACAGAAGAGGAAGAAGAAGTGGTTTTCTTATTCTGGTGGTCGTCATCTCAGAAGGATAAAGAAAAATGCTGTTTGGCCAAAGGACAGAGAGAAGATCAGGAAAAGTGAAAAGTTTGGATAAAGCTGCTTGGATTTTAGTTTCTGATGGAGAAGACGCCTGTTTTGGATCTCAAAGGAAATGTGTGAATAGGCAGAGACTGCAGGCTTAGGAACACTTTCTGGTGTTTTGATTTAACGGGGTGGCAAGAAATGTTTTAGTGTTGTAGCATTGAGATGGAAGGTTTGTCTGCATCAATGGCTTCCTCCGTCCCATTTCCTTCATCATCATCTCCCCAACCTGGCCAGAACACCTCCAGGAGACTCAGCTGCTCAGAGGACGACGTCTGTCCTATCCCCGGCCTTCCAGCAAACATTCTACACATGCGAGTCAAAGAGAGAAGCAAGATCCGCAACCTACTGCGGTTTGCAACAGCCCGCATGCTAGGAGAAGGAGGAGACAGCAACAGGACATCAGTGAGACAAGTGGTCTTCACAGGCTCGGGCAGGGGAATCACCAAGACGGTCACCTGCGTGGAGATCTTAAAGCGAACGGTGCTGGGGCTCCATCAGCTGTCCAAACTTTACTACAAGAGTTCACAGCAGGGTTCACCGGATCTGACCGTAGAGAGAACGGTCCCTGCCATCTGCATCCTGCTCTCCAAAGACCCTCTGGATCCACAGGAACCCGGCTATCAGCCCCCGCAAACTGTTCCCACAGAGGATGCAGAGAGACGCAGGGGTCTGCTCAGGACAGCTGGCAGCCACTCCTCACAGCACATGGACAAGAGGTTCTGTCTCAATGACAGGACTTCATGTCCCCCCAGCACCTCTGAGGTCTAACTACATACTTTTAAAACTAGGAGTAGGTATTTATTTACCCGGTAATGGTTGAGAAGCAAAAGAAAACAGTTTGGGAAAAATGACTTTTATACCCAAATATAACGTGTAATGTTAGAACTATTGTTGGCACAAACAACATGCACATCTGGAGTTTCATATACAATAATTAAAGTTCTTATTTCTAAAACAAGTGTTTTTATTTCCTGCCACCAACAGGTGAAGAACGGTAATGTTTTTTTGTTGCTCATATCTGTGTGAGCGTGCTTTTGTGTGTCTCTTAACAAAATAGGTTGTGAACCACTACTGTAAACCAAAATTTAAAGAAACTTGTAGAAAGTAAACATTAGATGTCCTTTTACAGATGATCAACTGTTAGAGTCTAATTCAAGATGGCTGCAACAGCTAGATGACCTTAAAAACAGAAAAATGATTAAACTTGGGACAATCTTACATTCACTGCCTGACCTAAAAAAAAGTTGACTTGCCACAAAAAAAAGGTCACACACACTAATGTTTCATTGGACCTTCTTTAGCTTTGATTACATCATACATTCACTGTGTCATTGTTTCAATAAACTTCTGTAATGTCACAAGATGTATTTCCGTCCAGTGTTGCATTAATTTTTCACCAAGATCTTGCACTGATGACTAGAAACTAGGTATGATGGGTGCATCACTTCACCTGCCTCTCTTCTTATCCTGATGCCTCCATCACTCTGGAACAGGGTAAATCTGGACTCATCAGACCACATGACCTTCTTCCATTGCTCCAGAGTCCAATATTTATGCTCCCTAGAAAATTTAAGCCTTTTTTTCCAGTTAGCCTCACTGGTTAGTGGTTTTCTTAAGGCTGCACAGCTGTTCAGTCCTAATCCTTTGAGTTCCCTTCACATTGTGCGTGTGGAAATGTTCTTACTTTCACTATTAAACACAGCCCTGAGTGCTACTGTTGTTTTTCTATGATTTTATTTCACCAAATGTTTAAGTGATCGCCGATCACGATCATTCAGGATTATTTCCAGCCACATTTCTTCCTCAAAGACGATGGGTCCCCTCTATCCTTCCAGTTTTTAATAATGCGTTGGACAGTTCTTAACCCAATTTTAGTAGTTGCTACAATCTCCTTAGATGTTTTCCTGCTTGATGCCAATGATTTGACCCTTCTCAAACAGACTGACATCTTTTCCACGACCACACGATGTGTCTTTCAACATGGTTGTTTAAGAAACGAGAAGCAACTCATTGCACCAGTTGTGATTAAATAACTTGTTGCAGCTGAAAGATAATCGCTCATACAGTAATTATCCAATAGGAGGCTCGTACCTATTTGCTTAATCCAAGTGGCAACTTTTTTTTTGGCCAGGCATGTATATTGATCTAAAACTTGATGTAATAGTCACTGAGACTGATCCGCAACACTAATCCTGAGGGTTAACAAATCACACAAAAGCTCAATTTTAAATATCATTACCTATTTTTACATATGCACAGAGGATTGAGGGTCAATTCATCTCACAAGACCCTCGGAGCATGTGGAGGGGCATTAAGTGCATAACAGATTATAAAGGAAGGAGTGAACAATGCCCCAAAGACCCATCTCTGCCTGATGCCCTCAACAAGTTCTATGCACGCTTTGAAGACCCGAACGACCACCCAGCACAAGACTCACCTCACCACCGGATGAAGAGCATCTCAGCGTGACCTCAGCAGAAGTAAGGAGTACTTTCAGGAGGATTAATCTGCACAAGGCAACCGGCCCAGACAACATCCCCGGAAAAGTGTTGAAGGAATGTGCTGATCAGCTCTGTGAGGTGCTGGCAGACATCTTTAACACACTCACTCACTTACCCAGGAGACAGTTCCCACCTGCCTGAAGACTGCCAACATCATCCCAGTCCCAAAAAGCTCTACAGTGACTGGTCTGAATGACTATCGGCCAGTGGCCCTCACCCCGATAGTCGCTAAATGCTTTGAAAAACTGGTCATGACTCACATCAAAACAACCATCGACATCAACGAGGACCCTCGTCAGTATGCATACCATGAGAACCGATCAACAGAGGAGGCCATCTCCTCTGTGGTCCACACTGCTCTCACCCACCTGGAGCAGAAAAACTCTTACGTCCGTATGCTCTTTGTGGACTTCACATCAGAGTCAGAGTTTCTTTATTGTCATTCGCACCTCATGTGGTACATGTGGTGGAGCGAAATTATGTACACAGGGTCCCAGTTACATCCAACAATAAAATGTATAAGAAACAGTAATAACATCTAAGATATGAACTAAGAAAAACATTAACTAAATATACACTAAGCACTCATAACATAAAACATTGAACATCAGCACAAACATGAACATGAGTCTGTGAGCAGATGTGCACGCATGAACACATCAACATTAAAACAGATCAGCAGCAACATGAAACAGATCAGCAGCAACATGATATGGTTTTTCACAGTGATTATTCTAGTTAGAGATTCATGAGTCTAACAGCCTCAGGGTAGAAGCTGTTCCTCAGTCTAGTGGTTCTACACTTAATGCTCCTTAACCTTCTTCCTGAGGGGAGTGGGGCAAAAAGTGTGTGTGCTGGGTGAGTGGGGTCCTTCATGATGCAGGTGGTCCTCTTCCTGCATCTGGAGGTGTAGATGTCTGTGATGGTGGGGAGGCTGATTCCAACAGATTTCTGTGCAGCCTTCACCACTCTCTGCAAAGCTTTTCTTTCTGCAGCTGTGCAGCCTCCATGCCACAC